AAAATACATTAGTGTCATCAGCAAAAATTCGAAATGAAAGTTTTTTAGCACAATTTGGCATATCATTTATGTAGAGTAGAAATAAAACTGGACCAAGTGTGGATCCCTGGGGTACACCACACGTGATGTTTAGTTTTTCAGAATCTATATTTCCTATTCGAACGTATTGTTGACGATTTGTTAAGTAATCTTTAAACCATTCAAGTGGAGTTCCTCTTATACCATATTTATATAGTTTAGATAACAATATTTCATGATTAACAGTATCGAATGCTTTCGAAAAATCTAAAAATAATCCACATGTTATTTCTCTATTGTCTATTGCAGTTTTTAGGCTATCCGAGAGCTCTAATATTGCTTGTTCAGTTGAGTAACCCTTTCTAAATCCGAATTGATAATCATATAAGATTTTATATTTTTGAAGAAATAGCTGCAATTGATTATATACTAATCTCTCAAGAACTTTTGCGAATGGAGATAGTGTTGATATTGGTCGATAATTATTAGGATCCGTTTCTATTCCACTTTTATAAATTGGTGTAACACGTGAAATTTTAAGTATATCAGGAACAATACCTGTATTGATTGATTCATTATAAATAACAGTAAAAACGGGAGCAATTATAGGAGCAGCTATTTTTATCACTGCATTCGGTATATTAATAGAACTCTTGTTTATATCTAAAGCCAAAAATAGATCAAGTACTTGAGTTTCTATTACAGGTGACATTATGAAACTTGAAGATGGTGAATTTGATATATACCTAGTCGGGTTTTCATTAGATATTTCTAACAAACTGGCCAAATTTGGACCAACGTTAGTAAAATGTTGATTAAACTGGTTAACTATTTCACACCTGTTTGTAAATGTTTGATTATTTCTAATCAAGCGGGTAGGATAGAGTTGGCCCTTAGATCTTCTCTTAATTAAAGTACCTATAAGTTTCCATGTGGCCTTTAAATTATTTTTACATTTTTCAAATTGTGCATTATAATAATTGACCTTACTTGTAGATTTGATTTTATTAAGTTTATTAGAATATTTTTTATAAATCGTTACTTTTCCTATATCATTGCTAAAGAAATGACTTAGGTACATTTTTTGTTTAGTTTTAATTGATTTGAGAATTCCACTTGTGATCCATGGTTTAGAAAATTGCTTTGCTTTACTTTGTGGTACTTCTTTAATCGGCGCATGTTTATCAGTTAGTTCACGTACTGTATCAATTACATCTTTGGTTACTTGATTTAGACTGTCATTTAGGTTGTTGAGTTTATTATTCCAGTTAGTATGCATTAAATCGTGTAAATACTCATCTTCACAAAATTCTTTATAATCCCTATAAAATCGTTTATAATACTCTCTTTTAATGGACATTCTCAAAATACAAAACACAGGGAGATGATCTGATATATCAAAGAGTACAATGCCCGATACAACTTGATCAATTGGTGTGTTCGTATAGATATGATCAATTAGTGTTTTAGTATGGTCAGTTATCCGAGTGGGTTTAGTAATAACGGGTATGAAATTATTTTCATATAACATATCTAAATATCTTTCAGTGGGTTGATGAGAGTTATACTTCAAAAAATCAATATTTACATCACCTAATAAAACCACCTGATATTTACGCTGATTTAAATGCTTAAGCAGCTCATCAAGCTCATCAGTGTATTTTTCAATATTTGCTTTGGGATGTCTATAAATACAGCCTATGATAATATTCTTATTAGCATTGTGATTGAAGTTACTAGACTCTATTTCTACCCAGCAGGATTCTACCAGCTGCATTGAAAAATTGATGTCAGGTCTTGCCATAGTTTTTAGGTTGTTGCGGACATAAATTGCTGCTCCGCCCGCTTTGGTTGGCGAATCAGTATGATAAAACGTATAGCCATGGATATCAACATTAGCTACCGTATTATCATTCAGTCGTGTCTCAGTTACAGCTAAGATATCTGGTTTGTGGGAGACAGAATAAATCATATCATTAAGCAAATCAATATTTTTTGGCAAGCTTCTTATGTTAAAATGGAAAAATGAAAATACCTTTGAACCTGCTGTATCAAGAGCCTTATTAATCTTTTCAGCCGAGTAGTAATTAGAATACATATTCGTTAGCATATGGTCAGAATCATTTTCATCTGATTTGTCAGGGTTAGGTAATATATTATACAAATCAATATCCAAATCTAATTCCTGGGACATAATATTATTCAAAGCATTAAACTCACTATCACTTAAACTTGAAAATGGTAAATATTGTTGTAAATATTGTTGTAAATTACTATTATTTAAATCGCCTAGGGACATATTAATATCTTATAATATGCGGCATATGCCGACATGTTAATCAATTCAAAACGAATTATCAGTTCCTAAGAATTCATCAAACTGGTTCTCAGTCGTAAACCCAAAAACCTTTGGATTGTCTGACTGTCTTAACAAAATCTTTCCGTTAATCGTCCAAATATGCTTCCATCTGTTACTACGTCTATACTCATTAACTCGTCCAAGTAACTTTTTCCTACACAAAGTCAGCGATTCGTTGATAAAAATGCTAGTAGATTCATGCATTGTTTTCCCGACAGAAGAAATGTCTTTTGATTTTTTACCGATTAGCTTGCTTCGTCGCTTATAAAACTCTTCCTTCATATTTCTATGGACAAACTTAACAATAATTCGATTTTGTATCTTTCTTGTTGGGGGGAGACGATGGGCTATTGAAATGTGATGTTCTGTTACCTCAATCCCCAGCATTTCACCTAATTCGACTGCAATCTGTTTAGGATTGTCTTGCGACACAGTTGGAATACCTGTTATTTCAATGCAATCACGTCTGAGGTATTGCTCAATATTGTCCATCCTTGTATCCTGATCATAAATTCGATCATCAGTAGATTTAATTTTGACTTCTATTTCTTTAAGCGACTTAGCCGTCTCCATAACTTCTTTCTTTGTCGTCTGAATTGATGTTTTAGCATTGTCATACTCAGTGGCCAAGAAACTTTGAGATTTTTCAATCTCATTACACTTCTGTGTAAGCGAATTTAGCTCTCGTTTAATATGATCAATCTCCTTCTTAAATTCGCTTCTTATACTTGGTAGGAATTCGCTTTCCCACAGCTGTTTAAGTGCATCTACCGTTAAGGTTTCTTTCTTTGGAGGCATAATTGTTAAATTCTCCTTAGCTCTTAAACACGTCCGACCTCGTCGTGTGTTTAAAAACGCAAGTGCTTTTATAATTGCACCACAATAGCTACGATATAAACATTACTGCTCTTGAGGGTTACAATGAACACCATCAGTAGACAGTAAATTCCTATCAGCCTTAAAAAACTCTATGTTGCCATACAAATATACCCTTTTTGTTTCCCTACTGCCCCAATATGTCAGCCTTAGCATGAAATGCCATGTCTGGTTGGAACGAATGTGGTATATTTCGATCTACGACCTGACATACACACGCAACAGAAACGCAAACCTCATCCCGCAGGAAGCAGGCAAGGTCATGAATGTGGGAACCAACAACCTCAGGTGGTTGACAGGACAGATCGTTCGTGCCTAACTCAAGAATTAATATGTCAGGCTTATAACCCTCCAACCACTTATATCACATGCAAAAACCTTATCTCTGGCCTTCTGTGCCTTTCAATGAAACATGTCCTGAAGATGCCAGATGAAAATTCTTAAGCGACGTACAAAAGAATGCCGAATATTAGAATGTTCAATATAAAGCCTGACATATTATGCAAAGTACGTAACAATATATGAAATTTAGTAAATAGGCAAAGCCAGAATACCTCTGATCCAATGAAAGTCTTGAACATGAAGAGCCAGTAGCTTGAGAAAGTATGTCCTTGTTGTGACTTGTAAAGTTCTTTATATAAGGTCACTTACTATACTGCATGCAGTGCATGATAAAATGTTTACTGTGAAATTGCAAAATGTAACAACTCTTTCCTGTAAAATACATTAGGGCTACTAATACTGGTAAACCCAGTTTAGCCTGAGGCTTAAATAAAGCAATACAATGAGACTGGGAACCAATAAAGTTATTATTTGTGGAGGCAAATAATTCCTTTGTTTAGAAGTTTAGCCCATAACGGTGGTTTGATGGAAGGTTGAATTTTCTCTGTTTAAAATTGTGAGTAGTCGTACACATTAAACACAGTTTTTCTGGGAAAATTGCAAGTTTGGAATTAATAGCAATTCCATTAAGAGTAGTTTGGTAGGAATTTTGATGATTTCAGTTTTGAGTACAACCAGAGAATTGTTAAGATAAGCATAAAACTTTTAACTCTGTCCTTTTCCCAGACAAATCGTACATAATTTCATTTTGATTAGCCCCGCACACGCTCCAATACTGTCAGAGCATTTGAATTTGTGCTGTGGCATCAGCATACTTCTTGTGGTGTATTGGCTTGCATAATGTGAACAGCAACCATCCAAATTTTAATTACAGTTTCCAAGTTGACAAAATGAACAACAAAACATCCAAAAATCATGCACAGAAGAAAACAAAACTTTATACAAACGTCCAATTTCTGTAGAAAAAACTTTTACCAAGCATTGAAGATGATATTCCAAAGGAAAACGTTAATTATCCTAAAATGCAAAAAAAACTTGTGTGTGTCCGCACCCGACCATCACGTCACATAAAAGCCCAAATAATAATAATGTAAATAATAGTGTAATGTTAGTAAAGATTTTTGATGTAAGCAAAAACTAGCTTTAAAGCCTATGTTTAAAGCCTATGCCTTAGAAATTTTGCCGGCTTTGCAAAAAATTTTTTTAGACATTTTCTTGCTTGCTTTGTGGGAAATGTGTGATTTTTATAAGTAATAACGATTAAATTGGCGATAAACGATTCGCGAATATTAGCGATTAAATTTCCCTTCGCCTCAGGAAGATTTGTGAAAGTCCTTGGGCTTCGCCCTCGGACTTTCACAAATCTTCCCTCGGCGTCGGGAAATTTAATCGCTAATTTCCCATCTAGTCATGTTATTAGTTTGTAATATTATGATCGCCGAGGAAAACTCAAAAAAGTTTGCTGCAGAGATAAGTTTAGCTGTTTGATTTTGTATTTTTCAATGAAGTTGTTTATGAGTTTGACTATTGATTGAAATAAGTGTACCTTTGGGACATGCTTTGTTGTTGTGAGACTTATGTAAATCACTGCATTGATTTTAAACTTAGTTTTCGAATATGGCTGCAACTGGAAGGTTCTATTTTGTGTCAGACCGGACAGTTGAAAATGTTCGAAAAGATAGAGTGCCAAAGAATACCATAAGGCACACTACGTGGAGTACAAATGTGTACAACGCGTGGGTTAAAGAGAGGAACGAGCAGTTTAAAGATTTTTAGGCAGAAAGAAAGAATTTCAGAGGATTCCAAATTTAGACTCTATTAATTTGGAAGAAATTAATTACTGGCTGAGGAAATTTGCTGTAGAAGTGAGGAAGAAAGATGGCAGCAATTACAGACACGAAGTACTGTATAGCTTGTTTTGTGGTATGAACCGTACGATCCAAGAAAGCAAGCCTGAAATAAGCTTGTTTACAACGCCACAATTAAAGCCATTTAAAAACGCGTTAGACGGGCGACTAAAAGAGCTTCAAGGAGCCACTGCTAGTCACGTAAATATAAACATAAATATAAACGGACGTTGATAGCATGAATTTTACAGTTGGTCTTGAGTTGGAGTTTGATGTTTAATTGTTTAGCAAAGTCATACTTGTGTACATTTAAAATTTAATATGTTGAATAAAATTGTTGAGTGTTTTAGGTTTTCCCTTTGCATTAAATATGGAAGCGGGAAATTTAGTAAAAGACAAAGGATTTCTTTGTCTACTAATCATCCCGTGCATTTTTGATGAGGGAAGATTAGTAGACAAAGAAATCTTTTGTTTTTTACTAAATTTCCCGGGGAAATTTAGTAGACAAAGCGAAATATTCCCTGTTGCATGCGTAATGAGGAAAATACAGGATTTAAATTCCCTATGAGAACAATAGAAAACGAGGCGATCATGATATTACCATGAAAATTCCTCATCCAATATTACACCGAAAAATATAGTTTCCTTTGCTTGCTCAATATAGTTACTAGAAAATACATGCATGCAGAAACCCTCGCCTTGCTGACAAAACCACTGTAGTTTCCGAACATGAAGTATCTAAAATAGTTGTCATGGTAACACGATAATTGTTTAAGAATATTCTTACAAATGAAGAAACGCCTAAAAATATCACTTTTAATTACAAAATTATCAATTTCACAACATATATATGTTAGGTATGTTATTATACGTAATATAAGCTTCAATTTAAGGTAAAATTCAACCACAAATGCTTTGCAAAACGTTTTAAAGTGTTCTTTTATAAACTGCCTTTAATTAAATGTCTTTATCAATAAACTTTGAGTTTGCAATAAAATGATTTCAAATTCTCGCTTGCAAATAACTTTGCTTTTTTTTTATTTAAAAAATTCAATATAATAAAAAAGGGAATCAATATTAAAGATACACTGAAATTATATGCTGTCTTGTTTAGTTGTTTTATATACGCATAGGCTGTCAGGTTTTAAATCCATTATAAAATCAATATTTAAAACAAACTTGCCTTTGTTAACATTGGCTCCCTTCTTTTAGCAGATACTTTCGCAGTTTCTTTCTCAGAAAACTTTAGAAATTTACAAAATCTTGCAAAAATGCAAGCAAAAATGAAATATATTTGCAAGAAATTTATCAGTCATCAAATCAAGAAATGTTTGCTATTTCGCTGTTGCCATGCAGTCGTTATAATGCAAACTTTAAATTGAGCCAATCAGTGTCCGCTATTCATGACAGTCCGCCATATTTTTGAGATCAGTGAGGATGAACATCATTGGTCACCCACACCCGCGATTATTGATGAACTTTAGACTTCCCTGATGCTTTCATTTCCCCTGGTGTAAATAGCTGGGGGGAATTAGTACCCTCGCACGGCACTTCGCGCCTTTGGCTCGGAGACTATAAATACTCACTTGAAAGCTATGATAACATACTTTTTGTGTCTACTTAATAATTTGTAAACAATAATTATTGTTAATAATTGCAATCTATTTGAAAAATAACTTTTGACCCAATCTAGAGCTAATCCACGAATACCGTAACAAGTATGGGGCGCCGTTTGTTTATTTATTATTTAATACAAAAAAGCTTGATTATTTTAATGATTTGTGGAACATTCCAAAAAAATGGATTGTTTACTAAATAACCTATTTCGGTAAATGGATTATTTTCTATATAATCCATTTAACAAAACAGATTATTTAATAATTATTACATAACGTATAGTGCTTTATAGAGATTTCGAGCACTGATAAAAGTGATAATCTCACATGTGAGATTATTCATGATAATCTCACATGTGAAAATTATAGCTTTTCAAATATCACTTTCCTGTAAAAATTATCACTTTTCAAAGACTGTCCTTTAAATAATAAACAGAAAAATACAAGATTTATTTCTTGTGTTGAACATGATATCTCACTTGTTCGCTGCGCTCACTCGTGAGATATCATGTTGAACACTGAAAATAAATCTGGTATTTCTGTGCACCCATGTATTATTCTCCATATAATCCTTCTGCAAAATGATTATCATACAATCCATTTACTGAAATGGATTATTTATATATAATCCTTATACCAGATTGGATTGTTTCACATATAATCCAATTACAAATTGGATTATTTAATATATAATACATTCACTAAAAATCTGAAATGGATTATTTATCAAACAAGAAATGGATTATATATACATTATACTTCATGTCCCAGCAATTATTACGTTCCTTTCCTATATTTTTCCTGCCATTGACCGTTATTACTATTGCAAGATTCAAAGATGGCCACAGCAAATTTGGGGTGAACAGAGCAAATAAACAGTGTAAATGACGTGTTAAAGATGATTGACTCCCTAAGATCAGTCATAGCTGACCAAGACACTGAGCAGGTAAATAAATAATTCATTTTTTGTGAGTAATGCATGATAATTTTGTATAATGTACACGATGGTCTTGAAAACGAAACATAAGTCATTGTTTCATATTTTGTTTAATGTTATCAGTTAATAGAATTTGTAGACCTAAATTTTACAGATATTGGTAAAACAAATAAGGGATTCACGCATGTTTTAACAGGAATTTGTCTGAAAAAATTTTTTTAACCTTTAATTTAATTGGTTTATGTCCAGAAATTTTTTTCAACCCTTTTTTTAATGTCGGGAAAAAATTTTTTCAACTTCCCCCCCCCCCCTCGCCAACATTTTTGGGGAAAAATAGTGGCCAAAAAATTTTCCTGCAGGGCAGCATCGACTTTCGCAGGGCAATTTTAGCAGTCACCCCCCTAATGAAAAGGGGCTAGATTCGTGCCTGGATGTTATTGTCTGAGTTTTAATAGGTTAATTTGTGTATAGTCATGGTGATTGAGTTCATTGTATTTTCGTATAATGAAGTAACCATCCAATAGAGGATAGCTGAGATTAAACATGTAACCACGATGAATAATATAATTTTTAAATGAAGTTTAGACAAAGGATTTGCGCACGGTGCAGTACAGTACAGTTCAACATCAAACAACGGTCTTCTAGTTTGAAGCTTTGAAGTTTGCCGGGCTTCCAGACAATCATATCTTGATAGACCATGATGTAGATCACCAGATGCTGAGGAGCTTATGGCATACAAATACAAATTAATATTAACCATATTAACAGAGTATAAGCATTTAACTATAGATTTATTAAACAAACAAATTTTAAATAGGAACCTGTATCCATGATCAGTCCTGCAAATTCAGGGGAAATTGTGAGAACCAGACCTAGTGCCCAGAGGTTAATTACAGCCACAGCACTCCCTTCCTCATTTATGGCACGGACTCATCTCAGAAGACAATATAGTCCCCTAACAAGCGAAACCCCAAAACGTCGAAAAACAAGTGGACAAGTTGGTTGTCTCAGACAGTACACTAAGGATATTCTCTGCTTTCCACTATCTGAACAATTTCAAAATGGAAAAGCAATGCCAATTCCAAGAGGAAAGGCTCGAGGGAAACTAGCTGAACTTGGTTTGTATGGAAAAATTGTAATTTACTCCAACTGGTCAAATGATCGGATGATTGATGAGGTGACAAGTTTGTTTGGACATGTTTTTGACTTGCCAGAAGGAGAATCTCTTCCTTTCAGATATTTAAGGATTGTACCTGGAATGAAAAAACTAGCATATCCTAATGTGTCAGCATTAAGCTGAAGCAAATTGCCTGAAATTTCGTGCAGCAATTAAACACCGAACACATTTTTCACCCATTAACTCGAAATACGATTATAGCTTTTAAATCCGATTGGTTCGGATTTTGGAACAAAAATATACATTTCCGATTGGATTGATAAATACGAATATACGACATCTCGTTATCCAAGAAAGAATTTGGCTCCAACCGACAAGGGAAAGGAGAGTGATTCAAGCTCTGTTATTGCAGAAGATTTTTTGCACAGTGTGACAAATGTGCAGCAACAACAACAGCATCAAATGCATCAAATATTCGATATGCAAGAATCCCAAGATCAACATTTACAGCAATGTAGCAGTCACCATCAACAAATGACCTTGTCAATGTCCCTACCCGAAGTGCAATTTCCAACATTCGCTGGCAACCCGATTGAATATTGTCATTTTCTGTGATCTTTCGAAAATTTAATTGCAGCAAAGACAACAAGTCACAATGCAAGGCTGTTCAACTTGGCCCAGTACACGGTGGGAGAAGTTCAGGAGCTGATGCGTAGTTGCCTGATGATGCGGCCTGAGGAAGGGTACAACGCAGTGAAGAGACTTCTAAAGGAGAAGTATGGTCAAAATTATAAGATCGCAACAGCTCATGTGAACCGAGTTACCCAAGTGCACCAATCAAGGCTGAAGATGGCATCACACTTTAAAACTTTTCTGTGTTACTTGCAAGTTGCAGAAACACTTTGAATGAAATTGGATACCTGAATAAAGTTGAGAATCCAGATTGCCTGGTCAAAATAATCGAGAAACTTCCCTATTCCCTGAGACAGAAATGGAGAGATGTTGCTGATAATATTACTAACAATAAGTCTAGAGAGATAACCTTTGACGATGTTGTCAGGTTCGTTGATGTGCGGGCTAGAGTTTTGAATCATCCAATCTTCGGAAGACTGAGTGCTGATACTCGAAGCAAACCCAAAGACTTTGCTGGAACGAAAAATAGACTTAACTATCAGTGAATCCAGCATTCCTCAGCAAGAAGACGTCAATAGATGGCCTTATCTTAAGGATGTGACGTTGCAGAGAATAGGCGCTCCAACTGGCCTTTTGATTGGAAATAATGTACCCAAGGCAGTCGAACCAAAGGAAGTAAAAGAGTGCAATGGAAAGGGACCATATGCTGTAAGAACAATTTTTGGCTGGATGGTTAATGGCCCACTCGGAAGAAACGAAACTGTGCATCATTGTGCAAACTTCATTCGATCCGACCATGTGCTCAATGAACAGTTTCAAAAATTTTGTGATGTGGAGTTCAACGACTCAGTGTTCGACAGCCAATTGGAAATGCCAGTGGAGGATTCTAGTGTGCTTGGAATGATGGAAGGCTCAGTACAACTAAAAGACAGACATTATGAAATAGCAATACCATGGAGAAATTTCCCACCTTGCTTACCCAACAACCGTCCCTTAGCAGAGCACCGCTTGAACCTTCTGAAGAAAAGGCTTCTTAAAAACTCAGATCTTCATTCAAAATATTCAGAATTCATGGATAACTTACTGACCAAGGGCTATGCTTGTAAGGTCCCCGATATTTCAACTAACCCACCTCAGCAGCCTTTGTGGTATCTACCGCATCATCCAATAATCAATCCCAATAAACCTGGCAAGGTTCGTGCCATTTTCGACTGTGCAGCAGTGTTCCATGGGACATCACTTAACCTCCACTTGCTGCAGGGTCCAGATTTAACGAACACCCTAGTCGGAGTTTTAATTCGTTTCAGAGAAAATATGTGGCACTGATGGCCGATGTCGAGTCAATGTTTCACCAACTGTGTGTTACTTCTAACGATTATGACGCATTGTGCTTCCTCTGGTGGCCTCAAAATGATCTCAATGTAGAACCTGAGGAATTCCAAATGTTGGTTCATCTTTTTGGCGCTACATCCTCCCCCAGCTGTGCCAATTTTGCACTACGGAGAACTGCAGATGACAACTTAAACGACTTTGATATTACGGTATTGGACACAGTCAACAGAAACTTTTATGTTGACAACTGCTTAAAGTCTGTTCGTGATGAAGACAAAGGTGTTTTGTTAGCTAATGGTCTTACGACATTGCTGGCTCGTGGGGGATTTCCTCTGACGAAGTGGATCTCAAACTCAGCTCGAGTGATTCAGTCAGTGCCTGAAGAAGAAAGATCTGGTTCTGTGAAAGATTTGAATTTCGACCAGCCAACAATACAACAAGCACTCGGAGGAATTGGGATGTCGTGAACGATGAATTTATGTTCAGGATGACCATTAAAGAGAAGCAACCAACACGACGAGGGTTACTTGCTATTGTGAGTTCAGTATATGACCCCCTTGGGTTTACTGCACCATTCATACTACCAGCAAAGATACTAATGCAAGAGCTGTGTAGGAGAAAGTTGAGCTGGGATGACCTGATTGAAGCTGATCACGTTAAACGTTGGAACACTTGGCTAAAAGAATTACCGAGAATTGAGCAGCTTCGGGTTCCAAGATGCATTAAACCTACGAATAGGCTAGAAATCGTTTCAACACAGTTACACACCTTTGCAGATGCCTCACAGTGTTGCTATGGCGCAGTTACGTATATTCGGTTTGAAGATATTGATGGCATCGTCCATTGTTCATTTATGATGGCTAAGTCAAGAGTGGCTCCTCTAAAGGAAACAACAATTCCATGACTAGAATTGTCAGCTGCTGTCATAGCAACAAGGCTTACCAAGATGGTATGACATGAAAGCGATATTCGAATCGACGCCTCTCAGTTTTGGACTGACAGTACGTGTGTTCTGGGTTACTTGAAGAATGAGAACAAGAGATTCCAGACTTTTGTTGCTAACAGAGTTGCCACCATTCTTGAAGCAAGTTCACCAATCTAGTGGAGATATGTTACCAGTGAACAAAATCTTGCGGACGACGCTTCACAGGGGTTAACTGCTGACACCTTGCTAAATAAGCTTCAATGGATAAATGGTCCTGAATTTTTATGGAAATTCGAGAATTACTAGCCGAGTCAACCTACCATAGCTCCCATAATTCGCGATGACGATCCAGAAGTGAAGTTAACAACGCAAGTCTTTTCAATTACGAACAGTTCACAAGTTACGACTGATGGAATTATCGAGAGATTCTCATCATGGGATCAGCTGAAGAGATTTGTGGCATGGATACTTCGTTATTGTGCAAACTTACGTAAAGCTGTTGCTGATACAGCTAAGATGACTAACATCGCAACAAGAAGTTCAAACTCAGAAATTAAACCGCTTACTGTGGATGACATGCTCGTTGCAGAAAGGGAGATTGTGAAATATGTTCAAAGAAGTTTTCAAGATGAATTGGCTCATCTCAATGGTGCTAATGCGCAGAACAACAAAGCAACAATGTCTTTAGATGGCCCAGTCAGGAAGACAACTCCCATCTACAAACTCGATCCGCAAGTAAGTAATCAACTCCTATGTGTCGGAGGATGTTTGGCGAATGCTCCTATCTCAGATGAAAGCAAACACCCATTAATCATCCCGAAGAACAGTCCAATTGCAAAACTGATTTCAAGACATACCATCAGTTGGCAGAACATAGTGGTCTTGAACATGTTTTGTCATTAATAAGAGAATGCTTTTGGATAATTGGAGCACGAAATACTCTGAAAGAAATTCTGAGATGTTGCGTAGATTGCAGAAGAAGACAAGCAGCTGTTGGTGAACAAAAAATGGCAGATTTCCTGGAGCATCGTGTTATGCCAGATAAACCGCCATTTACATTTGTGGGAGTAGACTGTTTCGGACCATTTCTCATAAAAAGAGCTCGAAGTCTTGTAAAGAGATAAGGAGTTTTATTTACGTGTTTGGCGATACGTGCTGTTCATATTGAAGTGGTTCAAAGCCTTGATATTTGTTCCTTCATGCTCTTCGCAGATTCATCGCCAGGAGGGGTCAACCACAGGTGATCAGATCTGATAACGGAAGTAATTTTGTTGGTGGAGAGAAAGAAATTTGCACAGCAATTGAAAGTTGGAACCAAGAGAAAATCCACCAATTCCTCCTGCAACAAAACGTCAAATGGATTTTCAACCCTCCCTTAGGATCCCATCATGGTGGAGTTTGGGAGTGCTGTATTAGGACAGTTTGCAAAATCTTATTGGCACTCCTAAAACAGCAGACCGTGGACAATGAATGCCTGACAACTATCACGTGTGAAGAGGTGTCTATAATGAACAGTAGACTGTTGACGAAAGTATCTGATGATCCGAATGACTTGGAAGCTTTGACCCCAAATCATTTGCTTCTGCTGCGCCCAGGATCAACACTACCTCCCGGAATCTTCAGCGACAACGACTTGTATTGCAGATGTCGTTGGAGACAGGCTCGATACCTATCTGATGTTTTAGGAAACATTTCGGGGCCGGCATGTTGATTTCAAACTGAAGGACAAAAGGACAATCAATTAGTTACACATGAATGACACTTTGTGAGTCTTGTGATGTGTTGTTTATGTTTTATGTAAATTAACAGTATTTAATCTAGGTGCTCATAACTTTTTGGCTATCTGTATTTTGTCTTGCCGCTGTGTCTGTCGATGTTCTGACTTTCTACCAGACAGAAAACTAAATATGTAAGTCGTCCTATATTTTGTACATTTATATAGTTAGTACTGTATTTGTTAGTTGCTTATCCCAGTTTAATATTTTTATTGTAATGTTTGTTTGTAGTTGAACCGTCTAAAGAATAAATATATCTGTCGCATAAAATATCTTTCCCTTGAATGCTTCATTGGATCATAGACAAACCAGAAGACAGGGACTGGAAACGCCTAATGTTTTGCGCGTGCCATCCGTGATGTGCTTGCGTGACGCTTGTGCCAATCATGCCATGT